TATATTAGTTTGCAAAAAGTATAATTTGATTCAAATTTGAATGGTAGGTCCAAGGTCGTTTTTTGACATTTTTAAAATCGGCCAAAATTACAATATTCGATCCACAGTGTTTATTTACTTGAAAGCCCAATATTTGTATTTTTTCTTGGAAAATTGTGTGAATATCATGTCGCTTATTCCATTTTTCACTATCCATATTGATTTAAAATCTGTATGAATATTTTTATTCCCAAAATCCATCAAGTACTGGTACTGTAATATTTGGCAGAAATGGACTTTTAACAGTCTACTCTTTAACATTGAGTTTAACTGTTGAAAATTAGCCCAAAACTGTTTCTGATCAAACTAATTTCGCTTTAAGGATGAGGCCTGGGTATATTAGTTTGCAAAAAGTATAATTTGATTCAAATTTGAATGGTAGGTCCAAGGTCGTTTTTTGACATTTTTAAAATCGGCCAAAATTACAATATTCGATCCACAGTGTTTATTTACTTGAAAGCCCAATATTTGTATTTTTTCTTGGAAAATTGTGTGAATATCATGTCGCTTATTCCATTTTTCACTATCCATATTGATTTAAAATCTGTATGAATATTTTTATTCCCAAAATCCATCAAGTACTGGTACTGTAATATTTGGCAGAAATGGACTTTTAACAGTCTACTCTTTAGAGCTGAAAAGTGCTGCGGAACTGTTTCTTCAGAAACTAAATTGTCTCACATATGAAGGCTGGGGTATGTTAGTTTGCAAAATAATTTGCTTAAAATCTGAGTGTGCGGTCCAAGGTTGGTTTTTACCATTTCTAAAACCTATCAGGATGTCTCTCTGCGAATATCCACAATTACTACCAAAATCAACATATTCATAAAAAGGCTTGTCAACCGGGCCAGCCTGGTTAGTGTATTTATATGGGATAATGCTTGTCCTGGTAACCGAGATTTAATGTTTTTGAAGTGAGGTCTTGTGCAAAGCTACACAGTAATATGTCTCTTATACACAGTGATATGTCTCTTATTAGGCTGGTAGTGCTAACCATGCAAACCAAGCTTTCATATAAAAATCCTCCATGTCTGAACCTCTTTATTTAACTCATTAAGTGAATTTTTCTTATTAATTTCATTGAAAATAAACACATAGATGGGTCATATTGGAATTCTACCAGGCCAGGCATAAATTAGATCATGCCATATACACAGTATATCATAATGAATTTGCAAAAATATCAGATTTTCTAAGAAGATCTTTTCTTGGAGGTTATCAAAGAAAACAAGAAATGAAACAAGATGAATATTTATTAAATCACAGATTGTGATACAAATTTAATTATGATAGAAATTTATATATTGTGTGGATATTACAAAAAGTTTATAGGATGTACAGAATACTCAATACAATGTACAGACATCTGTATTCATAATCATGTCTTTAAGATTGTAAAAGTAATATCCCAGAGATCTGTAAAAAATATACTTTCATTGTTAACTCAGAGGGAAAGAAGTATTCTTTTGTGTGGCATCGGGATTGATTTATTTGGGGGAGGTGGGGGAGGTGGGGGAGGTGGGGGAGGGGGGTTAGTGTAAAAAGGCAACTTTGTTTTCCAAAAAAATTGATTGAGCCCAAGGGTGGATTTTATTTTTTTTAAAGGAGGGGTGGGAAAATTTCTAGTGGGGTGCAAGTGGAAAAATAGGTGTGGTAAATTTCTAGGGTTGAATTACCCCCCCCCTGTATATCCGCCCATGCTTGAGCCTGTCTGGGGTCCATAGTGATGATCCATCCTGCCTCATCAGGTCAGGCCCTGTTTTATAACCAACCCTGGTTTAGTAACCCTCGTACCACATCAAGTTATATGCATGAGGGAAAGTAGGTTGTTTGAACTATTATTTCCACTTGCAATTGTCACCTATATCCCATATGAATTTGTGGTTTCCAATTACTTTATATACTGTATGACTAGCATGGTATACCTGAAGCACTGCAACAGCTACATGTGTACAAAACAGTATGCATGAAATTTAAAATTACAGATATGCATGCTATGTGCACTTGCAGTGAAATGTTTTTAATATGGACATATGCAACAGTAAGTCAGTAACCAGAGCCAAAATAAGAAAAAACTGATTAGAAGTAAATGGATTATATTTACAAATGTTCAAATTCTTCCTTGAAAATTCAAAAATAGTGCTTTAAAATTTTGCATGTACCTACTGTTACATATTAACGAGTTATGAACAGGTAGGCCATCATTCCAAAGACGAAAGCAGTCACTTTCAAATTTCAATCAGTTTAATATTACAATACTTTAAATGCTCACTCCTTTGTCCGATACATGTGCATATTTACATAATAATAATTTAAATAACAGCTATTAAATACGATATTACACTTACCATGTTATCTTTCTTTATATTTGGCAATGTTTTGCCTCGTGACACAGCCAAAAATCCAGTAAAATTCTGTTATTTTTCTTCGCAAATTTTGAGAAACTTTTAAAACCAAGATGGCGGCGCAGCATTTTTTCGCGAAGGCCTGGTCGCTAAGTTTTGAGCGCTTTTCGAAAAAAATACGCGACTTTGTAAAAAATCTCCTCTTAATTGCTTTCAAGGCATGTTTAGTATAGGTAATCATGCGATGGCGAGTACAATTAGGGATTAATAGTACGAGTGATGTCTGGAAATTTTGCCAAAATTGGACGAGCCGCCGGGGCGAGTCCAATTTGGCAAATTTCCAAACATCACGAGTTCTATTAATCCCTAATTGTACGAGCAACATCGCATGATTACTTGTTTATTATTAGCATGACAAAATTGGATACGTACTTCTCAATGTCAACATCATATTCTCTCGCCAAAGCCCAGTTCTGTCAGACTTTCAACCAAAATTTGGTGCTTTTGTTTGTATTTTCATTTAGTTCTTTTGTTCAAGCAAAATTTGGTGTTTTTGTTCGTATTTTCATCTAGTTCCTTCACGGCAATTTCATTTCACGCTAGCGTTTAAAATACCTTTCCGCCATTTTGTTTGTTTTGGGAAAATCATTAATTGTACTGCAGTACAATTAATGAAATAATTGTACTCCTCTCAACCAATCAGCATCCAGTAATTTTGTCATGCTAATAATAAGGATCGTTATTCTTGTTAATTATATTTCGATGATAATTTTCCTTATCTTGACGTATAGTGTTAGTCACTGGCCCTATTTCGTAGTGTCGAGAAAGCATTCCAGTCAGTTTCACGTTTTGTGATCATTGCTATACGTTTAAGTCGATCTCTGTCTCGTATCAAGTTTTTTTGTATTTTGGTTTAACCATGGAATGTTATGTTTAGTTCGAATTCGTTTGAGTTTCAGCGGAGCGTGTTTGTCAAAAACCTCCAGAAAAAGAGATTTCCAAAGAGACCACTTACGATCAATGTTTGATTCCTGATCGATGTGGTTCCATGGTTGATTATAAAGATCATCGTGAAAACTATTGCAATTAAAATGCTTAAAATTGCGAATTTCAATATTCTTATGGGAATGGGGGCCCGCTTTAGGTCCGGCTCTCCTTACTACACAAATAATATTGCGGTCACTTATGCCCGGTGGAACAACGTCCGCAGAAAAAACATTCTCTGAATTTGAGGTGATACAAACGTCTAATAAGGATGCGGTTGTTTGAGTGAGACGCGTGGGTTGGGTAATTATTTGAGAAAGTTGATACATTTCCATGAGTGACGTTAGTCGCTTGGTAACATGACTGGAGGAGTCCAACATGTTACAATTTAAGTCATCAAGTAGGTACATTTCCTTTTGCTCAGAATCAAGATTATCAAATCTGAGATTTTCAATTTTGGAAAAAAAAACATCTACGGAACAATTTGGTGGTCTGTAGAGAGTACCGATTGTGAAAGGCCGAGTTTATGGTTTATAAACTTCGATACAAATAGCCTCAAGATTTTCAGGCGTGATATGATTCAGGTTCCGATAGCTAATATAGTTATTTACGAAAATACAAACCCCACCTACGTATCTATTGCGATCAAAACGAATTATATCATAATTTGGAATACTTACGAGATCGTCAGAAATGGATCGATCTAATTTCATTTCATTAATTGCTAGAATATCAAATTTCGAAGTTGCGAGTAAAATACGAACGTCGTCTATATGCTTTGGTAAGCTGACTATATTATAGTCTATAGGACCCGTATATGAGTTTGTGTGCATTTCATTTAGGACAGATAATATCAACTGTTTTAGAGTAAAATGACCATGGCGGTCAACATGGCATATGTGCCAAAACCTGAATCCGGGGAAGATGACCTCGCCCTGAAACGGCAGTGTTTACATAACTCTAACTTCCGAAAAGGAAAAGCGATAGCCTTTCTGAAGTGCTTATATAGTGTTTAGAAGGGTTGGTTTGAGGGGTGGTCATTGGAAGGTCATTGTTTAAGTATAATATTTTACAAGAAAATGACCATGCACCACCTCAGGTAAACTGCTAAACATGCATAAAATAACTAATATGCCTGGCAGAAATTAAATTTTCTTATTTCCTAAAAAATTATCATGGGATGAAAAGCCATGCTTATTTATAATTATTGTGGATTTCGTAAGGATTGTCATTGTTTTCTTTAAATATAGTACATTTTATTTGACTGACCCCCCACTAAAACACGATTTCAGCCATATTTTGCCGTCTTGTTTGCTTTTTGTCGCCGTGTCTCGCAAATATCATCCAGTTGTTGTACTTTTACATAATCATAAATGGCTAAAGAAGATTTCAACCAAGTTTCATCAAGTTGTGAAACAGTGCAGTGTATTTTATCTTCGTATTGAGTCCTTCGAATTTCGTGAAATATGGCGCCATTGCAATGGCTCGCCGCTTCTCTGCCCGATAAATGCTATTTCTTCGTCTTCCCATGTATTTAGATTGCAGTATCGAAGAGTACTTCATTGAAGAATAGTCCCAATCCAAAAATTGAAATCATTAGTTGTAGTTGAAAGGAAAAAACCTCCCACAACACTTGTTCTGTCAAAATGGAAAAGAAGTAGTTTAAAAGTCACGGGCAAGTTCGCGAAACCTGCTCGTTGTCTACAAGACTGGGGGAGGGGTTAACATTTTCACGAAACCAAGCTAAATATATTATATATATTGTATTTTTATGACTTACGATAAAAACAATAAATATTTGCGTATTTTCATCATAAATCATAAAAATACTATAATGTATCCAGTTAGGTCACGGGCTTTAGGACAAATTCAATTCGAAAATAATAGTATTCTCTCTAAATAGCAGTTAAAATAAAGTGTACGGCACCTGATCTGTTCAATATATTGCTTCTGTATCCATAAAACATTTACATATATGCAAATGCTCTATATTTTCAAAATCCGCCATATTTATTTACATTAGAACCCAAGCTTTCGCCGTTTCGCGGTTCACACGAAATATTACGTCGGTGATTTTCACTAATAATAAGAGGGTAGGATCATCCAATTGTTCAATCGTTTGAAGCGCGAGGAAACCATCCTTCCATATATGGCACAAACGTGTCCCCAACTTCCTTATATGGCACAAACGTGTCCCCAAAATTATTTTATTGAAGCCGTTATGATGTCATAAGATTCCTCCCGCTCGGAACGATTTGAACAGGTCACGTGGTACAGAACCCAGACAGCTGATTGGGTTAGCGAGTGACAACACCCACTTTAATCCTACCCTCTTATTATTAGTGAAAATCACCGACGTTAATATTCCGTGTGAACCGCGAAAGCTTGGGTTCTAATGTAAATAAATATGGCGGATTTTGAAAATATACAGCATTTGCATATATGTAAATGTTTTATGGATAAGAAGCAAGATATTGAACAGTTCAGGTGCCGCACAGTTTTAACTGCTATTTAGATAGAATACTATTGTTGTCGAATTGAATTTTTCCTAAAGCCCGTGGTTAGGTCGCTGTGGACCGTGGTGGCTTTTAATCATTTTTTTGAAGATTTTACTTTACTTTGTTAGAGCCCACGAGGAGTTTTCGCGAACTTGCGCGTGACTTTTAAATGACTTCTTTTCGATTTTGCCAGGACAAGTGTTTTGGGAGGTTTTATCCTTTCAAGTGCAACTAATGTTTTCAATTTTTGGATTGGGACTATTCTACAATGAAGTACTCTTGGATGCTGTAATCTAAATACATAGGAAGACGAAAAAATAGCATTTATCGGGCAGAGAAGCGGCGAGCCATTGAAATGGCGCCATATATTTCACGAAATATCGAAGGACACAATATCGAAGATAAAATACACTGCACTGTTTCACAACTTGATGAAACTTGGTTGAAATCTTCTTTAGCCATTTATGATTATGTAAAAGTACAACAACTGGATGATATTTGCGAGACACGGCGACAAAAAGCAAACAAGACGGCAAAATATGGCTGAAATCGTGTTTTCGTGGGGGGTAAGTGAAATAAAACGCATTATATTTAAAGAAAACAATGATAATCCTTATGAAATCCACAATAATTATATTGAATTAAGCCTAGTTTTTCATCCCATTATAGTTTTTTAGGTATTAAGAAAATTTAATTTCTGCCAGGCATATTAGTTATTTTATGCATAATTAGCAATTTACCTGGGCACATTTTGAATTTATCATAATAATAAATTCGCGGCACCCAACACTAACCCCAACCCCAACCACTGACCCCTAAGCACTTACCCCTAACCCCAACTTTTTAAACTTTTTTGAAAATCTAACTCTTTGCTTTTGCTTTTTAACTCTTTTAAAACTTTTTTTAAAACTTTTTTTTAAAAACTATTTTTTTGAAAATCTTGCCATTGCTATTCGAGCGATTGTTTCAGTGAAGTCAGTAACTTAAATTTAATAAAATTTTTTATAAGTATAGATTTACATTTTTGTTAGGCAACACAACATAAAGCAAAGGTTTTTAAACATGAAACACTTTAGATTAATAAATTATTGAACGTTCGTTTGATGGCGTGGTTTTCCAAGAAACACGAAGTATTCGTCCTCAAGGACACTCTACAATAAATTTGTTTATGAAGTTCATCCAAACGTATTTGATGTTTTATATCAATTTCTGGCATTACCGTTAGAAATGCTTATTCATGCAATAAACGCCAAAATCTCATGTCAATACTACAGATTTGAATTAGGTTTCTCTGAATATGATAAACTTTATCTGAGTGTGATATGTATAATA